ATGCTTGGTGAGGCACAAAATGTCTTGCCAAATCTCTCGCTAAGGCTGAGTCCCAAAAATAGTAGAATAACGTAAATAACGGCTCGCAACATCCCCTCGAGGCGAAATTTGTATTCTTTAGGCTATTTTACCGCATCTCATGAAATTCGGCCTTAGGATCTCATACTTGAATATCTTAATTCCAGTTGGAAGGGGCAGTAAACCTAACGACTACAAAACAATGTTCAATACTACCTATTTAAGTTTCCTACATAATGCATTCTTGAAATACGTCTTTAACACTTATGAATGAATTGAAGAACCTCTGGTCTACTAGCGCGAAGGCAAAAGTACGATGATTGTGGTGATGTCATTGGATTAGGGTTAGTACTTTCCTTTTGATAATATACTGCCTTCTTAAATCCATCCCTTAAATGTTTTGTCAATTTTGATTGCGGACTTCGTTTTACGTAGGTTGGACCAGATCAACATTTCTACCACTGCTGAGTTTACTTGATCGCTTCTAATTTGGTTTTAGGGCAGAAGCACAAGAGACCTGTATTAGCTGGGAAGAGAGATTGTGGTGGCTAGTATGCTGTTCTTCATTAGACTGGATTCTAAAAGCGGGGTTGGATTTCATTGTCTTTGCAGTACCCGCTTGATTGTTGAACATAGCATTGTTAAGGTTTCAAAAGTAATTGAAGAAAAGTTGCTAGGCGTACCGTTGTCCTCCTGTGATGTTGCCTTTTCTATAAAATAGTGCTACTGGAAAATGACATTTTCCTGGTCAAATTATATGAAAACTATACCGAAGTGTAAATATTCCCTTTTTGAATGTATTAGTTTATTTTCTTATTTGATTTCGTCCTTAGAATCGGGCAAATGCGCCGCAATTACTCACACCACCACAAAGTTAGTGCTCATCTAGCGAGTAGCCTGTAGCCTACACTTGATAACCATGGTATACAAGTAAAATTTTGACCTGTTATTAATAATTCGTAAACTAAATATGCTACTTAGCAATTCCCACA